GGAAAGGAAGGGGTCTACGTCCCTTGAACTCTCTGGGTTTCCTACTGATATAACCGTATCAAATACGAAAGCATAAGCACAACATAAATGTGATAACATAGAAAAATAATTTACTAAGCATGCTATGATTGTACCTAACACAAATAATCTGATTTTAACTATCACATACACATGTTCAATTTGCAGAGCGAGCAGCTGGAAGTAATAAATAAAATTAAACCTTATGACGCAACCATAATGTACAAACAATATGAGAAAAATTTAGGTAATAATATAATTTACAGAAATAACAACAGTGGTAAATATAACCTTTAAAGTAACGAACAGAAACTAATGTAATTTTATACTACATAATAAACTATTAGGCTGCTTGCATTAACAACAATAGAGCTTAAACTAATGAGAGGTAAAATTAATAGCAGTCAACGTACTAAACTTGTTCATTATTACCTTAAAAATTAGTTAAGAAATTAAGATGTGGTTAGGATAAGTTTTAAAAAAGTTGTGATATTTCTTTAAATTGCTAATCCCATAATTATTACCAAGAAAACTTTAATTTACAAAACTGAATAAGTGTGATATTCAGAATGTGGTAGGAGAAACCTGGCTTATAAACAATGAGATTGAGTATATACAAACCTTCTTCATAAACTTTAGTAATGTTGAACAAATCATATGTAATAAATTGTGAACAGTCCCCATTTTTTTTTTCTTTCTTTACCTAGATTTTTAGCATAAATAATAAGTTAAAGACAAATAAAACTAAGATTTGTATCTTCAACTATGTAATGATATTAATTATATAGTAACACTTAATACCTTTAGATACTGGGACTTAGCATCTTCTTACAGATCTTACAAGAACCAGTTTCTGTTTAAAGTAGTGATTCTGAAGTGTTTAGTGCCTAGAAAAAAAAAATCTACCTGTGTAATAATGAGTCATTCTTCCAAGAGTCTTCAGCAATATAGAAATTAACAAAGAGAACTATATTTATCTAAGTATTAAATGAATTAAAGATATAATGATAATCACCTAGTAAATTATTTTATCCACTGAATGTGAACATATTTAAAACTTGAAAACCAAAAGATAAAGGTATTTAACAACTATTTTACATTTTAAAATAAAACCAACTACACATTATCTTTGCTTAAAAAATACATTCATTATCAATCTGGAAGTTCAAAATATATCCACATCATAGAAAGCAGATGTACATGGCTTCATACTTTAGTGTGTCCCTTGTACCAGACTGTTTTAGTAAGCTGTTGTACTACATTCATTTCAGTGTGTGTGTGTGTGCGCATTTATATATTTTTTCAACAGCTTTACATTATTTTTTCCATACATCTTCCTGGTGATTCATTCAATGTAAGTGATCACAAATAAAATGCAGGAAATTTTCCTCTCTCCCACCTGACAATTGATAATAATTCTTTCAGGAACATACAAATTATTCTGTTAAAAAAAACAAAAACTTTTCTCCCATTTGTTAGTTGATAATAATTCTCTCCAGAACATAAGAATTATTCCATAAAAAATAAAGACATTATTTGAAATTTTGATTGATATAAAATAAATTACAAATGATTCTTACAAAATCAATAATTAAAGAAAAGTTTTATTACTGAAAAAGTTTAATTTTGAAAGAAACTTTTTAACATTTTATATACACCAAGTACATGCATAATTTCAATATAGCATGCATATACAATCAACAACTTAAAGATAGGTCACACAAACTGGTAGTAATCTTTAATTATCAATACATAAAAATAAGGGCAATAAAATAATAAAAACAAATCTGTTTCAAAAATGTTTCTTACAAAATAAATTCATGTTTGTAACTTTGGGAATTTTTTGAAGGTTCTAGTTGAACTTAAATAATGCTGCCACATTTCATAAAACAAAAAAGTAAAAAAAAAACATGAAATGTAAAATCTACAATACTAAAAATCTTCAGCTACATATAGACAATGTTGTTCTTATTTTACTACTTTTTTAAGTTCAAATGTCAAGTACCCAAAATTGAACACAACTAGTGACCTATACAATGAAATAATCACCTCTTTACAATTACATTCAATATTTCTGTAAATATAACCCAAAATCCTACCAGCCCTACAACTAACAATCACTATAGTAGATAGGGACAGTAATACAAATACAGGTCATATGGAACGAGTGAGTTAACACTAATATAGTTTAAATGCGATAATAAATCTTTCCAGAACATAAGATTATTCCATAACCAACTCACTTCTCGCCCAGTAGACAGTTGATAATAATTCTTTTCAATTCTTGGCTAGCTTACCTTCAAATCAGTAAACATTGCTTAGTAGTCTCAAAGCAGTATATATCAAACATTGGAACTCAAATGAGCATACACACTGAATTTAGGACACTAAAAACAGCACACACACCAATTGTGGGAATTTCATATCAATGTACATTGAATGGAAGAAACTCAAATCAGCACAGACTGAATGCAGAGACTAAAAACAGATCACGTAAATGATTGGAGTTTCAAGTCAGTATAAAATGAATGTAGGAAACATGAATCAGCATAAATGCAGGAGACTCAAATCATCACAAACTTAACGTATGACACTTAAAACAGAGTATGTTTTAAGTCAGCATACACTGAATGTAGGAAACTCCAATGATGACATACACTGATTTTATGAGATTACAAACAAGACATACTTATTTTCAGAGTCGCAAATTAATAAACATTGAATGAAAAAAACCAAATCAGGAGACTGAATGTAGGGATCTAGAATTAGCACAAAATGAATGGAGGAGACAAAACAGCACACAGTGATTGTTGGAGCTCAAACCAGTGTACATTAAGAAAAGTCAAGCATCTGTGTACACTAAATGTAGCAAATTATAAACACTGGTATGTAATATGATATGAATGTAAAGTATTCCTGATCCAAAAAACTAGCACAGAAGAAATTACACAAACAGAAAATCTAAAGGTTTCACCTACTTTTAGCAATTCTTTAAACAGAGTTGATATTTGAGTTTTCTAATAAATAAACAAACCTATCTGTTAATCAACCAACATGTACATTTCAGTTTTTTTGCAAATTCAATAACTCTTAACCTTTTCACAACAGGTGCTCCTTTAAACACTTTTCTGTGCAAGTCACTGTGTTACATTAAAAATTTAACTAAACACCTTTACTATCAATGTATGTGAATAAAATTAATATTATAATGTATGTTTTGATTCAAAGTTTTATTTTAACTATGTTTTAAGTCCTTTATTTCAAAATAACCTTTAAAAAACTACTTAAAACTTCAGATGTGTTGTCACATGACTAATGAGCTTCGAAAATTCTCTACTTTGGCTCTCTGTATCCTCAGTAATACAATGGTAGTTGATTAGAGGTTCGACTAGACAATAAGATGCTTACATAACTTTTTGACTTGCACAATTCAAAGTTCTCTGAATGAATAAAGCTAAAACAAGTAATACATATTTTAAACCCCTGACAGGTGCCATGCCCACCTTCAATAGATTTGTTTGCACTTTATAGCCTACATCTAGATGTTACATACACATGTGTATAGTCATTAGAAAGAGATCATTTTACACTCTAATCTAACAATGGATATTTTGAAATTGGTGTGCAGTTGTCCTCACAGAATACGTGTAACTGACTGTAGTGTCGTTGCCTGCTTGATTAACTATAGTACTTTCGGTTGTATATGACCTAAATATGTTATAGCTAGAGATACAGTTTAAATTGTACTTGGGCCTTACTATTATATTTTAGTTAATTATGTATTAGTTATGTTTAAAATACATAATTAAAAGGTTTAAACATTTTTTAAATATACATCATACTTTGCATCTGTTCTCAAGGCTTCCGATATTAAGCTCAGAATAAAAATTTTGCTGAAGGATTGTGCGTGTCTCATAAAGAAACTGGAATATGCTTCAAGGGCATCGTTGACTTGTGTTGTGATGAATAATAAGTGGTAAAGGACAAGAAAGGAAAATAAAACATTAAAAATTAACTATATGTTAAAAGGAAAAGACCTAAAACTATGAATTTAAAAAAAAAGAAAATCTACAATTCTACAAAAAATTAAAAGGTATGTATTTTTTTCTATTTCCTAATTGTAATTATTTCATTGCATTGTACATTGATGATAATCACTACAGTTTGTGATATGGTTGAGAAAATGAAAAATAAAATATAAACTTTTACCTTAAAACATTTTTTTACATCCTTTTAGGAAGATCTAGAGATTATGCAAATGAAATATGGGAACTATAAGATGAAGAAAAGTATTTTTATACTTAAAATGAAAATCATTTTGCACTCGATTTATTAACAGTTTGAGTGTAAGTAACTATAATAGAAAAAATAACATTTTTTTTTAAAACACTTAATTATAATAAAGTAAATAACTTATGATCTTTAACAAAATCTTACCAATTTTTGAGAGGATAAGTTAAGAAATCTCATAGTTAATGCATGTATTGTTGTACAAGTAAAATTTGTGAATTGATTTCTCCAAATTGCATGAGCCCAAGGTGAAAGGGTTAATGTCAGCAATGTATTTAATGATTGTACAGTTTACTTGTCAAATTATATTTTAATAATTACATTAGCAAATTTTAGAAAAATGAATTAAACTTGTGAAAGAGTAATGGAGATTTCTAACAGATTTTTAAAAAAATCTCTCAAATGTTAGAAACTGGTGTAGATATTGTAATGAAGCTAAAGAACCCATGATATAATAGCTAATTTAATCATTCTCTTGGTACCAATAGTCAAGAGTAACTAGTTTTTAGTAAGTCGAATTAATAAGTCCTACACACACACACAAAAAAATAATTTCTACAATTGTAAAGTTGAGAAGAAAATAAAATATATACCAATCTGAGAGCTGTCAAGCACAATCTGACCCTGATATAAGTGGTATATATAATTGTAAGATGTTAAGATTCATTGTTTAAATTGTTTGACAGGAATAATCTTTACTGCCCAAGCACACTTTTAACTTAGAGTACATGTAAACATAAATATATTGTTTACACAATTCACATAACCATTTCAAGTCACGAATTTTACGAAAAGTGGGGAAATGTAAAACATATTTGCTCTTTATTAAAGGCCTGTTTGCATGACTGTTCATGATGATTACGTTCTTGAGGTCGTTTAAATCCTTTACCACATTTACTACACTTCTGAGTTTTCTGCCAGATGTGCATGTATAAGTGATGCATTCGGAGAGATTTGGGTGAAGAGAATGTCCTCATGCATATACTACACAGCCATCTCTGACCAGAGCTTGTATGAACTGCCATAGATGACCACTTGACCCTTCGACCTGAAAAAATGTTAATGTCAACCAATAAAAAGAACAAAGATCTTCATATTTCATCACAATAGAAACTTTTATGAAACATGGCTATTACCTATAACCTTTTATTCCCTATTATTAAGAAACTAAATAGTGTAAAATGCTTTATAAAAACGTTTATTGAACTTGTCTAACCACATCAAACTTCAGTCAAAGAGAAAAGTGTTTCTAAATGATTTTCACAAACACACATGCTTCCTGCGTCTCAAAGCAAGGTTTTATTCATAGTTTAACAAAAATCTTAGTAGCCTCAGATCTGAACAATTTTGTCACACCAATTTAATAAATACACAGCAGTAAATTTACTTTTCATATTACAACATATTTATCTTTTATACTGTATGATAAAATAATGCATACATATATTATTACATAGTACAGTAAAGACCATCACGAAATAGGTTACAAATGCTAAGAAATGAAACAGTTGGCAGTTTGTCTACCACGGGTAATCTATTTTGCTGTATTTTCCAATTTATTATACACATATATTTTTACAAGCTGCTTGGACTGAATATGGTCCAATTGTTTGTTCTTAAATGACTGTTACTTAAATCTAATTCTAATTCGAGAGTACTTTACAATTAATAAATAAATACATCATCAAATGTCAAAACATTATGCATGATATCCCCAGCAATGCAAACTATTCAAATCTTTACATACATAGAGAACAACTCTAAAACTTTACACAATATTGCAATAATTTTCCTTCAAACTTTTGTAACAACTTACATGAACAAATTTCAAATTGTAATAATCAAACTATGTAGTATTTACCCACATTCTAAAAACTGAATCTTTTTGTGAAAACTTGCACAATATCCTTATTTAAGAAGATCAGAAAAAGGTAATCAAAACCAAAGCACAATGTGGTTGAACTGAAACTTTTTAAAAGATAATAATTAAACAGATATTCTAACAATACTGTAAAAACTGGATGGCCATTTTCAAAACAAAATACAATTCTAAAACTTGCAGAAGATAAAACGTTAGGAAAAAACATTCAAGATTTTAATTAAATAAAACTAAGTATAACAAAAACCATCTTTAACTAAAGATAAAAGTAGTTTCCTGCTTTGGTTTTGCATCTTTATGAAGAACATACATATTTTTCAAGCCTGATTAAAAGTGAATCATAGCATGAAACATTTCATGATATTTATGAGAAAGATTAGTCACCAACAGCCAACTACAGTCTACATATCATATGCTGATTTTAGAGTTTACATAATACTTTCAACTGGGGTGTCTAGCATCGTTCAGTCAGAAGTTTCTTTAGAAAGGCACAAGTTCACTTTTACAAAACATTTTAAATAATTTTTCACGAGAATATTCAGTGACTAAACAATTATATATATGCTTAAATGTAAAAAACAAACACATAGAATATTTCAACTTTTCTTTTGTCTACACCCAGCGTTTGCAGGACTGCTCATGCTGATTACGATCTTGGGGTCGTTTGAATCCCTTGCCACATTTACGACATTTCTGGTTTTTTTGCCAGATATGCATGTACAAGTGATGCATCCGTAGAGAATTTGGTGAAGAGAAAGTCCTCATACATATACTGCACAGCCATCTCTGACCCGAGCTCGTATGAACTGCCATAGATGACCACTTGACCCTTCGACCTGAAAATATATATTGTTATTCAAGTAAAAAAAATAAAGAGTAAAAAAAATTGAAAACACACTAAATATAAATATGTTCATGTAACATGAACAGGAAATGAACACCAGCAATTTTTAATTATTAATAACATCACAAATACTAAGTCACACCCAATTTTTATATTTGTTCCATTCCTATGATACTTTCTTGATTAACAAATAATTTTCACATTCATTAACAAATTAAAAAAACAAAAAACTTCTAAAGTAAACAGCTTCTAATATACAATTTCTTTTTAATCTTACAAATACAAAAGAAAATATACTCTTACAAAGCAAACTAAAAATTACTGCATTGAAACTAGTTCAATCAGCACTTAGCCTTTTTCATTACATCAAAGCTATTTTCCTATAATGCACTCTCATCAATGCTGGATCTATAAAGAGCATCTGGTGGGATTAAATAACCTTTCATATCACTCAACCTATAAGCTGGCATCTGTAAGTTAGTTACTGATACTTATTATGGTGGAGCAATTTCAAGCTTTGAATTTAAACTGGTGAATTATATCTTAGATTATGCATCTCTTGCCCAAATTCTGATATTCCAGGTTGAAGGATTTTCTACTTTTATCAAATAGAGCTGATATATTTAAAACTTTACAACAATAATCAATGATCTCCTGTAAGTTTCATTGTGTGTTTTATTATCTCCTATGAGTTTGAACATGTAAAAAAAACATTTAAGAATTTTAGTTCCAGAAATCATTCATTTCTGATAAGCAACGGTTTCTTTGTAGTAGTCGACAGTGAGAACGATACATCCAAATTTTCGTATTTTCATTAGATTAAAGATATTTTCCTATAATACACAACTATTAATTCTTGATTTGACTGATTTAAAGAGTATGAGATGTCTCACCTATATATACTGTACCTTTAAATTTCACTGTATGATTTCCATTTGCACTAACCTTATTGCTCAAATCATTTATCTTAATAGTGTCCTAAGTGCTATGAACTCCTAATTATTTATTTAATCATATTTAATGCTTTGTGTTTTCATTTCACAAACTTTCTCAGTCATTAACGTATTTTTCTCATTATTATATCCATCAGCTGTGGGGAATATGTAACACCTCTCAACCCAATGCATCATATGGACATTTTCTATAAAACAACCTTATACATAATATTACAATTTACTAAGTTTTTTTATAAAGCAACTCCAACTTGTCATAATACAGAAATACATATACATACACTTCTCCTTACTTCTCAAAAAACAAAACACTTAGAACTTTGTTTATAAACACTAAATATAACAGGTTATTGTCAAGTCACTTAAGAATAGAAAAAATCTTGACACATACAGTTATGTAATTAATGACATTATACAAATACCTAACTTTCCAAAGCACTTAAAACAAAAAGTGTTCAAATGCCACTTTGGTATAACTACTGATCACAGACACTATAAAAATGTTTTAGTGCCTCTTCAGGTACTGTACTATGTAACAAAAAGGTGCTGTTTTCAATATCTTTATGCAACCACTTTATGATTCAAAATTCCACTAATTCCAAAATCATTACAAACTAGCACACTTTCAACTCATATATCCACCAAATTACAATCTCTACTAGTAATTAAATTGTTTTTAAGAATTAACTGAAATGAAAGATAATGTTTTATTTAAAATATGATACTAACCAACTTCTGATCTCCACTAGCAAATAAATTGTTTTTATGAATTAACTGAGAGATAATCTATGATATATTCCTTCAACTAGTATACTCACCAACTTGCAATCTCCACTAGCAACTAAACTGTTAAGTATTAACTGAGAGATAATCTGTAATATATTCCTTCAACTAGTATACTCACCAACTTGCAATCTCCACTAGCAACTAAACTGTTAAGTATTAACTGAGAGATAATCTGTAATATATTCCTTCAACTAGTATACTCACCAACTTGCAATCTTCACTAGCAACTAAACTGTTAAGTATTAAGTGAGAGGTAATCTGTAATATTTACCTTAGATAAATGTATTTACAAAGTAGACAGGAAGTGAAAATATACTCTTTTAATGTGTTGCCAAAAAAAGCCCAAAAGTTTTAGCAAATAAATTGAGAAAACAAGTGAAAATTAATGAATATCCTACAACACTATCACTCTGTATGTAATATTGAAATACTTAATATGATTTTCTAAGAACATTAATGAATATGCAGTATATCTCAGGTGTGTATAATGAAAATACTATTACATTATTTATCATTTTATGTATGAAAATTAATATTAGCTTCCATAAAAAGCAAGATTCCTACTTAGATCACCCCTTAAAATCAGCCCAGTAATGCATATAGCTAATTAAATACATTGTTCTTATACAGATTACTTTAGATAACGACCTACTAACATTATTATTTTTCTTCAAAAATTAAGGAAAACAGTACTACAGTATTTACCTGTGTAACAATGACATATTCAATATGATTTTGCTAGATTACTAATGAAATTACACAACAATATGTATTGTGTAGCGTGAAAGAATGAGGTACTTAATATGGTTTTACTAGATTATTAATGAAAATACTACACCACTATTTATCATATTATGTATAACAATAACTAACATTTTACAAAAAAATTAATGAAAATACTAATACAAAATATTTATTGTATTGTGTAAGAAAGATATAATTAATATCACTTGCAATGTTACTGATAAAAATTCTACAACAGTGTTTATCATTTTATATATATATATCAATGACATACTTAACATTATCTTACTAGAAAATTAATGAACATGCTACTACGGTATTTATTGTGTTTTATGTAACACTGAAATACTGGTTTTTGTTATCTGAATTCTTAATATTAGAGGGAAAAATAACAAGAAATAAGGACTTCACTTTTTAGCTTAAAAAATCTTTATTAGCAAATGAGTGTATTTTCTGAACAATTTTTAAAAGATAAAATATTTGTAAAATAAAATTTCATTACATCTGCCTTCAACACTGATGCTTTCATTTCAAACATTTTTCA